CAAATTAAAAAAAGTTATAGGGGTGGATTTGGGTGTGAATAGTGTGAAATCAATCAGGACAGCTCACAGGTGAAACCTGAAAATGAATTAAAACATTGTATTTAACTTATTTTAAAATGAAGCAACGAAACCTCTTAACTGATTCAAAGAGACTCTGAAAGGTAAACAGTCAATTTTTTATGTGATGTGGGTATGCAAACTATATTATTTTGATCTTTTTGACCGTTAAAAATCAGTTACATTGTTTCTAATCTAAAGATAACTGTTGTAGCAATCAAAAATAAGTTGTACTTCTAATGATTGATAATCGGCTTTTAACCTCGTTAAAGAGACTTCGTAAGACGATGATAAAGTGAGTATTTTTGCTTGTAATGTTTGCGCATAGTTATTGCACTTTACATGGTGCTAAAATTCGAAATTACTAGGCATTAGTTATTTTAACATTAAAAAGCTGAAAGTCCAATTCACAAGTTACATTATGACCTTAGTTTAACCTCTAATATCGTTATGAGCGATTTCCGAAAAATGACCTTGGATCACCTTGACCTTGACATATGACAATTGAGTATCTGGTGAATCTCCATAAAAAATTCACCGGACAATCACAGGCCAAGTAATAGGTCTTTGACAGCGACAAAAAGTTTCTGAAATACCCTGTAGTGATCTAACACATACTAATAGAATAACTAGTCTTTCAATACTCGATCTTCGATATCTTCAATATCATCAGACAAGAATCTTGTATCCATAATAAACATTAAGAGTAGAATAACAGAAGCATCAAGATGTAGATTCTTGTTAATGTTGAGATGTTTTTGGTTGTTGCTTTTGATAACCTTAATAAACACGGGTAAATCTAATCTTCGAAGTTGGAGGTTTGTTTGAATTAGGCTGACAATTGATGATTGAAAAGAGTTTTATGTTGTACTTCATGGTAAAATAATTACAGTTTACTGGTTAACCAAAACAATTTTTATACATGTAATAATTTTGAGGCCATTTAATAACATTAATCAATAATAACCATTTGTGGACAATAATTTCCATTTAAATTAACTAAAATTAAGTTAAACTGTTAATTAAATGAGCACCAGTTCCAGACATTTCAAGTTACCACTTTGGAGTCATAATTACAACTCCCCTCAATAATCATTTAGTTAAAACAAAGTATTTGTTTTGCCCTGACCATTGTGAAGAATGAGAAATAAGACAGGGGAATAGACAGAATAAAGAAAGAGGAGAATAATTTGGACCATTTCTCTTTCTCAATTTAAACACTTAATTTTTGAATATTACATACATTTACTTGCTTTTTACACTCAAGGCACATGGAACTTGCAATATTACAATAAAATATGAATATTTTTTCGAAACGACGCATTATGCATTAGATCTTGCAATTGAAACTCCATTCAGCTGATTGTACTGTTCAAAAGAGCTTTATTATAGATGTTTAACCGAAAAGATTCTTCTTAAGCTCCATTGCAAATTGCCACAAATACTGAAAGAAAAATGACCATAAATGGGTAAAAATCTTCAAAGGAAGCCAGATTATCAAAAACCGAGTTTAGAATATTGCCGCGTTGTTACTCTGTATCACGACCAACATCCTTACTACTTGCTGAATGTGATTTTTCGTTCTCTGGAACCTAATGAAAAAATGAAATAATTGAAATATTGCATCGAAATCTTATATTCTTACGAATGCAAACTTACCTTAACCTTTTCGATGATTGTACCATTAGCTGGAGCAACCTTTTTTGGCCTACCTCTAGCCCGTTTAGTTTGTGTATTTGCATCTGTGGCTGGAGACTCTTGAATATTGCCGCTCTGCTGCTCTGTATCACGACCAACATCCTTGCTACGCGCAGGTTGTTCTTTTTCTTGAACCACTTCGATGGTTGCACCATTAGCTCCTGGTCGCGAGTTTATTTGTTGCTATGATTAATAATTTTATCCAAATAATAGTATATTATTTGGACTTAAACCATTTGGATTTTGACCATAAATAGTATTATGTTAAAACATTGAGATTTGTTGCTTAAAAGACACAAATAGGACAATTGATGCTTTCATGCACAAATTGACAAACTGACAAAAATCTGAAGAAAAATGGGCAAAATGGGTAAAAAAGGAAAATAAAAATTGTAACTATTATTAATGTTTGCTCATAGTTAATGCACTTTTGAATGATGCTAAAATTCGAAATTACTAGGCATTTTTTATTTCACCATTAAAAAGCTGAAAGTCAATTTACAAGTTTACATTATGACCTTAGTTTAGCCTCTAATATGGTTATGATCGATTTCCGAAAAATGACCTTGGATCACCTTGACCTTGACATATGACAAGCGAGTATCTGTTAAATTGCCATGCAAAATTCACCGGTTATTTTCTATGGGATTTTTTTCAACTAGCTGTTTGTTCTTCAATTTTTGTTTCATTTTTTTCTCTTTATGGTTCACTTAATGAAGACATAGTTGACCTATGTTTGACCGATTGACTTCAAATTTCATATTTAGCTTGTGTTAGGTTGTTGACTCGATACCTGAAAAAATGGCGCCTTTATGTCTAGACATTCTGTCTAAAACTTTATTTGAACTATTAAATATGAATGTGTCAATTTTTGATTGCACTACCTTTGAATAACTAATCTTTCAATACTCGATCTTCAATATTATATTCATCAATTTTCAACTTTGTATCTATCATTTGATCAACCGAATCTTATAAAATGTAATTTTCCAAACTAATGCTTCGAGCTTGCTAGCATCATATTTACTAGAGGTTTACAGTTTGCTTTTGTATATCAGCTTTTGTATATCAGCCAAATGCTACCGAGCTTTATTACCAAGTCAACATTAGTAACAATACAAAGCGATTTTCAGACATTTCTTATTTCGGTTTTTTCGCAAATGCAATAATTAAGAATAATTAAATTTTTAATAATCAGTAGTTTATTACAGTTTATTATTTCGTATTGTCATGAATGTTAACAATTGAAGACTGAATAATTGGCATAATGTTATTGTCCAGAAATCAACAGAAAACAAATCAATTCAACTTTTATTTCGTCAGTCTTTTTATTCATACTGAGTCATCTTGGTTCATCATACAATTTTCATTGAATCTTCTGCTTCTTGCTTTAATAAAAAGTCAACTTCATATGAGATTACATTATAGGAGACAATGAAAGGATAACTAACAATCTAAATCCTACCATAAATTAGTTAATTCATTAAATTAATTATAACACCTGTTGCTTTGTATTTTTTGTGACAAAGATTCGATTTTGTTTCGTCCCTTTCCATATTGTGCACTTGTTGGACTCTCTTTTTGTGGCTGTTGTTTGTTTATGGCTATGATAATGGCGATGTTTGCTGTTTGGTTAGAGATGGGAGTTGAAGTTGAATGATTATGGCTTGATGGTGAAGTATAACTTGAGAATCATTGGAATCATTTCAAGGTGGATAAGTCCCTAAAGGGAAAGAAAAATGTGTTCCATTGATAAGGGTTTGTTGATTAACTGGATTGGCTGCTGTTGATGCGGCTGCTGCAACTAATGCTGCAGTGCCAAGGGCAGCTGTAGTTCCTGGATGGTGTGCATGATGATGATGATGGTGATGATGAGGACTGAGACCAGCAAAGTTGGCTGCACCGGGCTCAGCTCCATTGGCAAACTGACCCGGAAAACCTACTGGCGGATAATCAAAAAAGTGTGTCGTTGTGATTGGCGCTGGTGCTGCAGGTTGAGGTTGAGGTAACAATATACTAGGTCCAGTGGTAATGTAAGGTGACGCTGCCGTCGGATGATAAACATAATGATGACTTGGGAGGCTGCAATAAAAGATTAGAGTAAAAATTAGTAAATTGTCTAAAAACATTCAAAAATTGTAAAAATTGCAATATGAACCCTTTGCAACCAATGACAATATTTTGTTTCATTTAGCCGTCCAAAATGTCAGCACTTTTCATTGAGTAAAACGGAAACTTTTAAAGGCAATAAATGTTGTCCAATAATTCATGAGAAAAATGTTATTTCTCGAAAAGTTTTGCATTGGAATTCAAGTTTCATCATTCCAAGTGTTCATGTAGAAACACTGAAATGCTAGACTGAAATTCTGAGTGTAAACTCGATGCATTTCCATTGGTGGGTAATGAAGTCAAGAAATTATTTGATTTACTTGCAAAACTCAAATGTGTATCGAGTAAAAATGTTTGCTTCACTCAATCAATTTTATTGAAGTTTCATGGCTTAAAGCTGGCTTAATAATATTCCAATAGATGGCAGCTACTGACTGTTCAAAGTTCAATGCAGAAACTAGATCAATCGCCATCTATTGAAGATTGACTTACACAACTTTTCTATTACATTTTACGCTCAAGTTTTTTATTGAATCTTTAGCTTTTCAACAACGCTAATAATGAACATTTTTTATTCTTGCAGCAGCTTAATAATCTGAAAATTCAATTTGAATCTTTTTCAATAGTTACAATGCAATATTTAGATGTCACTAACTGCAAGAGAAACTTTACTTGAAGCTCATTTCAATATCATTCAGTCAGTGGAAATTTTCTCGCAAGTCAAGCCGACCCTTATACCAACTCTCACCTAAGCCAACTAAAGACATTCCCTTGCAGTAAGAGCCAGCGAAGGGCTTAGGTCTACGGGTAGTCAGTGTCAATTATATAATACTCATAAAAAATCGTCTCTTTGCAAGTTTGTATTGCACTGAAACTGAAATTGGATGAAAACAAAAAAATAAGTTTATCATTGATTGTAATATAAATGTTGCATCCCGATATGAGACTAAACTTTTTGTCTTACAGCATCCAAAGCCTTAAGTGTTGAGTTAAGCCATTTCACCATCATCTTTTGTATTAACATTATCATCGACGCGAGAATGGGAAAGGGAAGCAAAGAAGAAGGAAAAAAAAGTTAAGCGAGAAAATCATGTTTGTTTCCCT